AATTTTGAATTTTTAATATTATTATCTATCTTTTTATTATCTAAAAGATCTAAAACATTATCAAGTTTTGCATCAAATATCGTAAAGAATAAATTATTATATTCTTCTTCTAAGTTATCTTGATTATTATCTTGTTCTTCATCCGATTTCATGATCATCCCCCACATTTATTAACTTTGAAACCCCAATTAATGACCGACCATGATATAATATACCAACCTGTATAATTCCTAACCCTGAAAATATAAGGAATGTTATTTCTTTAAGCAGGTATTATTCTAAACGCGAATCAAAAAAAAAAAAAAAAAAAAAATCTTACGATCAAAACTTGATATATTGGTTATAGTAATGTGACTGTCCCTGGACGGGCTAACCTTGCTTTCACTTAATCGATTTTCATGTTAATTCAAATTCCGCCAAGCAAGTGTCAATAACAATATTTGGGCTATCTATTTATTGTTATTCTCTTTTTTTTTTTTTTTTTTGAACCCGTGAAATCCGACTCGTTCTTATTTTCGTGTTGATTACGAAAATATCAGTCTTTTTCTCTAATTTTATTGGACGGTCATACCTTTATGCTTTTTATACTAAAATTAGTAAGTGGGTAATTGATGATTAATTAATTATTTAATATATTGATCATCGGAAAGATGAAATTGTTTGTTGTAATAAAAAAATTTGCATATCGAATTTCTGTGAACGCATCGGGTATATGAATTTATATCATTATATTACCTTATATGTACGTACGACTCATGCATTCATGGAGCTTTCAACTGCCAAGATGGAAATTTTATTGAAAGTCTTTTTTATTTTAAAATCTTTATATTTAGAATATTATTTTGGTAATCACGTGTTGCTATAAATAAATATGTCATATCGATATAATAACGATAATGATAACAGATAGTATAGGGTCTAAATAGTATAGTCTCTAAAACATTGATATATTTGGAATACGGAATGCGATGCGTATAAATTAGATAACTTCCGGTACATCATATTATCATAAATACAAACTTTCACTGTTTCACTTACAAGTTTTTTTTTACCACTTATTGCTCGATAGCTGACAAGTTTATAGTACAAATCGTTTGTACTCGTTTTTTTTTGCTTATCATAAAAACAACATATAAACCTCAAAATTTTCATTAGACTTCAATATTGGCACGCATTAACGTACGTACCAATTTTATGATTCACAAATCTTACGAATCTTAAATAAGTATAACTTCAAAAAAAATTTTTTTTAGAAACAAAAATACAATAAAAATATATAATATATAATGAAACAGATAAAGAATCAGATAATGAAGTAAATAGACCAGATGAAGAAATAAACGATGAAGAACAAGATAATAATCAAGATAACTTAGAAGAAGAATATAATAATTTATTCTTTACAATTTTTGATGCAAAACTTGATAATGTTTTAGATCTTTTAGATAATAAAAAGATAGATAATAATATTAAAAATTCAAAATT